GGTCCCAAGTGGGCCACAGATCAAAAAAAGATAAGGGTCAGTTACAAGGTTGAGCTCATTCGGCGTTTCCATGGTAACTGACCTCCAGCATCCCTGGGAGGACGGCACCCAGCTCCCCAGGTGACATTTCTGCTGCCACGCCATCAATCCGCTGCCTTTCACCGCCGGGGCCGCCCGAGCAGCAGGGAGCCGTGCCGCACCGCGGCTGTGCCGCCGGCCAGGGAAGGGCTCGGCTCCGTCCTGCGGGATTAATTACAAAAACGCACCGGAGCGATGCGGTCCTAACAGCGGGACAGGGCCTCAGACAACAGCGGCAACGAAGGGATGCCGTCTGCACGGCATCGCCCTGTTCCCACCCAAAGCTCTGCGAACGCGCCGTCCCCCTGCGGCGCTCCCAGCTTGGGCTCAGCCCTGGGCTTTGCCTTCACCCTGGGGTGGGTTGCAGTGAAGCCAGCAGTGCGGCGCTGCCAGCCGGCTCTCCCGCAGGCTTTGTTCCAGAGGGGTGTCCATCACTGTCGTCCTCAGCCCCAGCCCCTCGCTCCTCCGCAGCCAGAAGGAAGAAAAGCTGGGGAAGCTCCTGTTTTTCCCCTGCTATAAATTTTTACCTTTGCTTCCTTATTTACCGGGGAATGAATTGCATAAACAGAACAGTTTCATGCAGTCTTCGTTTTATTTCCCTGCGTTCGTTCCAATTTGTATTTATTTCTATTATAATTAGAGCACCCCTTACATGGCCCGTTTATTTCTACCAGATTTATGATGTAATGGACAAGAGAAGGTGCTCTGTGAACATGATGTTAATGCTTTGTTACCCTGAATTACGGATTTTCAAAGTTCATTAAAAGTGTGGTTAACTCATGGATGCGTACATCTAAGTACAGCAAAGACGTTCCCTTTTACTGCCTTAATTTGCTGCAGCGAGGTAGCAATATGCTGCTTTGGGGAGCAGTGCTACGGGATGGACACGTTGTGGGGAGCGAGCATCAGATTGCCCTACACACTATCTCAAATTGGGACTATTGTGATTATAAGGGAAAATTTTGCTTTATTAAATCAAGTTGAAGTTTTAACTAACGATGAAGACAATTCCATTTTTATTGCTCCAGTTCAAGTTTGTCTTTGGGTTGATAACATGTCGGTACATGACAGTGTTAATGCATCGTTTTATATTGCCATTAATATAGTTATAATTAGAAATGCAGCTGATACAGTACACGGGTTTAATACAGCATTATTAATTATACTGCATCCTCGCCAGGAGGCTGCCAGCGTCAGTTCTCTTAGAGGCTCAGAGGCTGATTGTAATATGTATTAAATGCACATCGCTGCAGCACAAACAGCTTTATGGAGAAGCACATTCCCACTAAAACGGGCAGGATGAGAGCGTAAGTGCTACCAAGCACCCTATCAACACATTTAAAACTATGCTGCAAATGCATTTGAACTTGCAAACAATGAGCGGCGTGCTTCACCGCTGCAGTTCAGCCAGGGCTGCGCAGCCCCCTAATCCTCGCTAACAGGCAGTAAATTATGTACCTCAACATTTATACAAATGCCTGCCTTTGACATCAGTGGGCACCACCCAGGTTTCACCTTCAGGATTCAGATAATCAGCTCTCGTTCCTACTGGCTTCCCTCAAGACCAGTATGGAAATAAGTATGTGTCTGCCAGGGATCAAATGCTTTTGGAGACAAAAGTAGGTACTGAAAACATTACAGGATACTATCATCTCCCCATGATACTTTTACACAAAGCGCTCTGTTCCTCTTTTGGCCTGACATAGTTTCAGCCTGACAGAATCCAGCAGGCCTGCTTGTTTTAAACAAGAGCACATCCTATTATTTTTTTGAGAAATGAAGTGTAAAATTAATGCTTATTATTTTCAGCTCGGGAAAAAAAAAAGGCAAGAAACCCAAGATTCTTGTTTGCTGTGCATTGCTCGTTTAGTGTTAAAATCAATTGATCCCCGCACAGATACACTTATGGAGAAATGGGAGAAGATCTAGCACAGCGAGCTGTGAAAATCTGCATTTTACTTTACAAATGAGAGGGGCTGCATAATTCACTTGAGTTATGTAGGTCTCTCATAGATGCCTGTCATATTAAAAAAAAAAAAAAAAGGAATAAAAATGAGGGAAATGATTATATGTTTTGTGTTCCTGCCGCCCGGCGCCACGTGGTCGACTGGAGCGTTGGCTGGTGTGCTGCATTGTCAAAGAGCCGCCCCGCGCGCGCCTATAGCATCGGATATAATTCAGGAAAGTTATTCTCCAAAGGTGACTGAGTACCCCTACACATGCACCGTGTTGCTGTGTAAAATAATATGCTGTAAAATGCCACGGAGAAGAGAGTGATTATAGCAGCAATTCTATCTATATCTTTGGGCATTTTCATATTTTGAATACACATGCATGAAAAGAGAAGCGTTTGTCATGCTAACCATGGTACTTTTTTCCCCCTTTTTTCTTCCTGGATGGTTTTATAGACACAAGAAATACATAATGGACTCCTGTGGGAGTGGAATAAAAACCCCCACCGGTGAGGAGAAGGCCTTATAATTCAGAAGTGGATTTGCAAATCAAAAGGTCTTGCCTCGAGTGGGATAAATTTCCAGATCTGCAGGAACCCATTATGTTTTATTATTTTTCATTCGAGTTTTAGTTTGTTTGTTATGGGTTTAACTATTTAAAATACTGCAGGGATCAGCCAAGAAAATACACAATCTCTGTTACCTAATTAAACATACCAAGACTGTAAAAATATACTTCAATGGAAATGCTGAATATTGTTCTACTTTTTTAATTTTACTGAAATTGTAGGTATTTAGGCTGCAAAAGGAGCAGTCTTCTAATCAGCAGTATGTGTCTGTCTGTATTTATGAACACACGTGCTCACACAGGACCACGGGCTGTACATGAATCACTGTTTTCCAAATACCCAGTATGTGGAGAGTAGAAAATTAATGTCAAACATGATTTCTCTGATTTACTCGCAGAAGGAATTTGTTCCATTCCCCCAGTATCTGCTTTGTCCTCTCCAAGTTTATTGCAGTGCGCGGCTGCCGTAGCAGCTGTGTGCTGGGCATGCTCGGGATGCTCAGCGCGAGGCGCGGATCCCTCCCCCTGCTTTCCGTCCCTCCGGAGCAGATGGGAAGGGCTGCACGAGGCCAAAACTTTTCAGGCGAGGGCCTGATGCAGGAAGGCAGCCTTACACCACAGCCGGGGAGAGGGCCAGGTTGGAAACCCGTGCTTCAGAGAGGACAATATGCCCGTCCGTGCGGGGTGCCCACACAGAGGGTTGCAAACCTCGCTGTGTCCTACAGCTATCCCAGTGCCCAGCCACGGCTGCCCAGTTTGCTGGGGGAGCTGCTGCTGTGGCACTGTCAGCAGTTTCCTCTTTCTGCTCCTGACTCTTCCCTCTCTTTCCCTTCTCCCTCCCTCCCCCCCTCCCAGCCCACCCGGTTGCCTCTCCGCACCCCACTCACCGCCTCCCCTGCACCACTCAGGTTTCCCAGCCATGGGGCAGTGTGGGCAGCTCACCACCTGCTCTGTGCAATTTTTAAAAATTATTATTATTATTATTATTATTATTATTATTATTATTATTATTATTATTCTCTTTTTCCCGCTGCCCCATGCAGAGCACCTGTATGGAGCACCCATCCAGCCACGCGTGCCCTGGGCATTGCCTCTCGCTGCAGACGTGGCAGCCACCAAGCTGCTGCTCCAGAGCTCTCTGTTTGCCTGGTCCTGGAGCACTAGTGCTCACCTGCCCACCTTGCAAAAGGGCTCTGAGACCCTGGGAGTACCAAAAACCTTATAAGAAAATAATTTCCCTCTGTCTGACCGCTTTAAAACTAATTTAAAATGTTTGTAAGTAAAGACTGTGCTTTTGGAGGCTCACGTTGTTTGCAAGATCCCACATTGTTTGCAAGAGAGCAACTCACTGTGTAATGCAGTCAGTTCTTAGGCATCTTGGAACTAAAAATTGAAGTTAGTGAGGTTTGAAAGTGTAAAAACAAAGCTGAGTGTAAATCAAAAGACGGTTTAGTTTTCAAGATATGTGTTCATGACAATTTCATGTGTGCTGCCATAATGAAGGGAAGATGTTTTGAGGAAGTATTTGCAAAAAACACCCACAAAATCTTTAAAATGTAGATGTTTACTGTTATATATTAAATATGTATTATAAACCTGTTTTCTAAATTTCTACTCCTCCCTCATTTCAAGCAAACCAAAAGGTTTCTTTCATGTTTATTGTGGAAATTGACTTAATATGACTTCAATACCTCAAAAAAAGGCCAAAAATATGGAAGTGGGTAAACAGAGAAACATGCCATCTTACAAAATAATAATTGTTGTTATTTATGTTCAGCTAGAAAGTAAATGCTTAAGAATGAATAAAGCTTAAGATACGTGATATGGAAATTATGCTTTAAAATGACGTTTAAATCCCTGTAATGGTCTATCTGCACCTTGGAAGAAGTTGAGAGAGGGAAAATCAAGGCTGACACTGGTCTGGGCTCCTGCTCTTCTCCCATAGTTTCCTCTTCCTCTGTGTATGTGCAGAGGTGAGGCAGCCTGCTTTCAGTGGTGGTGGTTGAACTCAGGCTTTAAATGCTGTGGGAGAGCTCAGTAACTTACACCCAGCGCAGCGATGTCCTTCCTCTGTGGCAGGACGCGAGGAGGAGCGGCACTGTGCCGTCAGGAGCCTGGCCAGGTGTGCAGGCTGCTGGCAGCTTGATCCCAGCCCCGCTTCCATCCCGGCTGAAAATGAGTGTCCCTAAATGACCAAGTGACTTGGGGCTCCAGATGTGACTTGGTGCTGCTCACCTGAGTGCTTCACACGAGTGGCCCAGCCGGCTCTCGCAGCGGGGCCACGGCAATGGCTGCGGGTCCCCGACGTTGCACGCGCCGGCACCGGCGTTTCTCGCTGGCTGCTGCATCCCAGACGCTAATGTGCTGTGTCACTAACAAGTTGTATCATTTGAACCTTGCAGAGGAAGGCATCAATCATGAGTGCAAGCTGTGTAACCAGATGTTTGACTCTCCGGCAAAGCTCCTGTGTCACCTGATTGAGCACAGCTTTGAGGGGATGGGAGGCACATTCAAATGCCCTGTTTGTTTCACAGGTAAGACAGGGAGACCGAGACAAGCCTCAGTGTGCATGGCTTGATCCAGAAATGACACTCAGGGGATTTGTAAAATACTGTATGCCTTTTCTCAGGAAGAGAAATACTGTGCTTGGAAATGTTCAAAATAGCCCCTGTCTAAACCAGCAGCACTGGGTGTTTGACACCGTGCAGCGCTGCCCAAACGCAGCTGGCTCTGCGTTGCTGCTTGCGATGAGAAGCCTTTCAACCTGCACCTTGTGCTCTGAAGGGGAGATGGGTCTCCAAGCACGCAACTTGCAAGGCATGGACCTGTTCTTGCCAGCCCTCCTGCACCTGAGTGAGGGCTCTGTCTGAGGCCAGTGGTGAGCCTCACATGAGTAATGGCTCATAAGATCAAACCACACAACAGTTAGTTCTGACAACTCCTCTCTCAAAGATTTCTTTAGGGCCAGCTTGCTCATCTTGGAGCATTTCCAGCTCCTTTCCTAACAGTGCCTGAGTGCCTGCTCTGTGTCCTTCCCCATGGTTCATTTTCAGCTGTCTCACCAGTGCAAGTCATGTTGGGTGAGCTTGCTTAATGGATCTGCAGGATGCATTTTAAGGGTGCCTTTTACAAACTTTTCAATAAGTTTCCAAATAGTTACCATCTAACTGCTTAGAGATGATTCTCACACACGTGTGGCTGTGGAGGAGGTGTCAGCAAGAGGCCACAGGTCAGCTCCTGCATTTCCTTAGGATTTGGCCCACAGTTTGAGAGCCTGCTTTTTGCGAGCTTGGAGTTAATTTTTCCTTTCCTGAAACATGCCTTAATGTAACTCTTTGACTGCATGTCTTTAATTCTGCTGAAGAAGCTTTTCTCATATACCAGTGAACAGTCATGTAAGATAAGACAAAAATTAAACAAGATGTTTTTAACCAGCTAAAGCTGGAGTTCAGTGTCCTGCACTTCACTTGAAGTCAGGGTAGTTGTCAATTCAAAATCATAACGTATATGTTGTTATATGTGTAATATTTGTAAAATTTTTTATTTTTTTTTAATTTTTAATACTGAAAGGACAGCCCATTTAGAAGGTCTAAAATTTGTGACAGTCTGCCCTTTCAGGTTCACGTGCCTGGTGTCTGCCAGAAATGCTGTTCTGGGCACTCATCTTCCAGACCAGCCACCAAGGCCTCTCCTGGCCCAGTTGTCCTGCATTAAAAATGCATCCAATGCACCTGCCGTGGGCCCAGGGCTCCCTGCAGGAGCGGTGACGTCCTCTGCTCGGTCTGATGATTGAGTTCTTCCAGTCACCCGTGGACAGTGTTAGCTTTATGTGAAATATCAAAAATCCATACAGGATTTAGAGTCTGTTAGAAGTAAGCTGACTGCCAGCCTGGAGACTCTAAATTGACTACTTGTAAGGAAATTCTGCTGAACCAAGTGTATTGGCACTTCTCTGGCTGATATCCTTGGATTTTCTAGAGTCTTTGAAATCAAAAAGTGTAGTTCAGGATGGGAAGTGTTATATGAAGCAATCCTAACTAATTGTTCTATGTTATTTCAGTTTTTGTACAGGCAAATAAACTGCAGCAGCACATCTTTGCAGTCCATGGACAGGAAGATAAAATTTATGACTGTTCCCAGTGCCCACAGAAGTTCTTCTTTCAAACAGAGCTTCAGGTATGTTTGCAACAGGAGTAAAAGCAAAGCTAAAGCCTTTGATTTGTCTGTGTGCAACCATCACCCTTGTGCAGTGTTTAGAAAAAGTGCAGAGCCCCAGTATGGTCTCTGCTCCTGCTCTTAAACAGTCTCTCAGCTGCCTTCTGCCGCCCTGGGTGCTATCAGGAGAGAAGGGTCTCAGAGCATGGCTGGAATAAATAAATAAGACAAGACAGATATCATGATTCTTTGAGTATTTCTCTTGACAGTAGAGTTGCTACTTCCTGACATGTCTACGTCAAACACCTTGTAAATAATTTCTTTTTCTCTATTAATAATTGAGGGACTGATTAACATACAAAGACTAAGCAAATGGTAGGCTGCCCCCTCCCCTTCCTTGCTGCTAAGTCACATGTAAAGGAATTTTCCCCACCTAGGTACAAGAGCAAAGCATTGGTGCAGCTGAACACAATGCTTCGTTAGAGGCTCCGCCAAGGCAATAGCACTTTAATAAGCAGCAGCTTGTGTAAACCAGGCATCATGTCTTGCTTTCCTAGGGGGCTACAGTCCCTTCAGCTTAGCCCCTGCAAAGCTGGTGCTTGTCCTGCATTCCTGGCTGCAGTGAGCCTTTTGCAGGGACCAGACCCTGATTGGGATGTGCTGCTGGAGCTGCTCTTGGGGTCCTGGCCCCAGGGATCACTTCGGAGCCCCGCTGGTGAAGCTGGGTTTTAAATCACACTGATACTTTGATGCTAAACCCTTAGATGCTACAGCCTCTGTGGGGCATTAACTTTGTGCTGCTCCAGCAGCAGAGCCAGGTCCTGTGGGCGTGCTGCCTCCCAGGGAAATGGGCTGCTGAGCTGCAGCTTTCACAGGGCTCACAGGGAGGTTGCTGCCCTGGCCTTCCTTGTCAGGAGTGTTTACCTGCGCAGCACTGCCACAAAAACACTGCTGCTGTCTGCTGGCAAATGCAGGATTTTTATAGGGTGGTACCGTATGCCTCATTTAAATCTATTAGCTTTATAAACCATGATTTACTTAAACTTTGGAGGGTTTTTATTTATCTTGCTGAATTCCCAAGCTGCTGCCTCTTGTGTCGTGCTGTCACGCTGTGGAAGGATGGTTGATCTTTTCACTTTGTTGATTTTATTTTTTTGTCTCCCAGGGGAATCTCTTCTTTCCCTTGTTCTAGCAACCTGATTTGCATAAGTGTACAAAAGTTTTAACTATACCTTGTTAATATTTTAATAAAGTCAGCAGATTTTGGTTTGTGTGTTGTCACTACGAATGTTTTATGAAGGCAGCAGTGGCTTGCAAGCCAGCTCTGAGTTTTCCTCCCATTTTTCCTTTAAAGTGGTGTTTGGTCAAGATGCCAGCACAATTAAAATAGGTGTACTGGCTTCCTAGGCCACTGCATTAACCTTTACAATCCGATGGTCAAATAAAGAGAACCTTGTTAAATTATAGTCTTAACAGTGGCCTTTTTTTTTTTTTTTTTTTTTTTGCAATTAACAGTTTTAATTACATAGTGTTTCAATTCTGAAGTGCTGTGCATTGCAAAATTGCTGCAAATAGCAGCCTTAATCAGATAAATTGTAATTATAATTTTCCAGTTTTCATGCAGGATTGGCGTGTGTTTAAAATTTCTCTGCTTATAATAATTACACAAGTCGCTTTGAATGGTGTTGGCTGAATGAAAATTCAATACTTAGCTGCAGAGTTTCAGTCCTTATTTCAGGGCTGACTCGAAAAGGTGTTTACTTGATGCCAGGGATTTTATTAAATCAGGTACCTGAGCCAATGAGGACACAATTTGTGCAAAAATCAGTTAGAAACGCTCAAGACTCTTGATCCAGTCTGAGTTGCATGATTATCTCTCCAGTTACTGATTTGCAAGCTATCTGTTCCAGATTCCTCAACTGTGCATGATATTTTTGTTAAGTGAGGAAGACCCAGTATTATTTTAGTGAGCCAGTTGTTCAGTTGCTAGTTAGATGTGCATAAACCTTAATAGTGCAACTGTTCTTAGGTGGGAAAATCACCGTCCATCAAATGGTTCTGCTGGATGGATTTGACTCTTCAGTTCTGATCTTGCTTTCCCAGTGGTGTAAAACAACAACTATTCCTTTTTAGTCAAAATATGAACCTATGCCTTGTTTACTTCTGCATGTTTTAAATGAAACCACTGAAAACACTTCTGGGAGGGGGAAGAAGGGCATTCAAATATTTCATGAAGAAATTAAGAGGTATGCTCATAAAAAAAAAAAAAAAGGAAAAAGAGGGTGGAGAAAATTACATGCAAAGCAGGAAAAGGCAACTTCTAGAGATGTCTTGGGCTAGGAATTAGCCCTGCTGACTTGTAAACATCTCTTTGAACAGTTACCTTGAACATAATGCATGTTAAGAAGGCCATATGTGTGCCATGCGATGGAAAAAGGTCGCTACTCTGAGCGTGCAGCTTAGTGCTTGGGGCAAATCCTGCTTCAGCAGCATAACGCTGTTAAAACTCTCAAGCCCTCTCTTCATTTGTGAACTAGCAGTTGTGTTTTAGAAAGTGTTTATGCTTTGTTTGCGCTGTCTGATGGAGCCATAAAACCACGGCTTAAGGAAGCTGGGAGGAATAGGGCTGGCTTAATAAGCTGTGGAAATTCTGGTGTGAATCTGGAGTGATGAGTCAGTGAGGTTATGCTGATACTGCCAGAGGAAAAGAAAACAGAAGTTATTTAACTGGTTATGTTATCTCGCTGGAAATGAGGAAACAAAACACGGCACGGTTAAGTATGAAGCACAGTGGAAATGGTATGTGTGATAACCCAGCGTGCCCTTAGGGCAGGGGAGGAGAGGCGAGCAGCTCCTCGTTCCTCACATCCTGTTTGCAGAGACTGACATCCATGAATATGATGAAAATACCCTGGAAAAAAAAAAGTAAATTTATACCTAATTCATAATACATCAAGGCTGTGGCATTTCATTCCTCCTGCTGAAGTGTGCTTACTGAAACAAGCGGAGAGGTGGGCTCTGGGGGGTCCCTCGCAGGTAGGGCAGAAGGATCCCTTTGAAACCGAGCTCGCTCTGTGGGACTGGGCAGGAGGTGACTGCCTGCCACCAGGCAGCTGAAGCCACCATGGCACACAGGGGGGTGAACCAGCTCTTTGACAACTGAGATTTGGGGTTTTACTATGTAAAGTGCAGTAGGGAGCTCTGCCCACTCCAGAGATGGGTCAGAAATCATGGTACGTAATGGGTGCTGAGAATTATGTTTGTGGCATTATTCACGGCTGGGCAATGCATCTGCTTGATCACTTGCATTGAGAATTATGTTGAGCAAATTGTGACTGAACAGTTATTGTTATTGTTTATTTTTTTTAAAGAAACTTTAGGAGGATTTTTCATAGGTACTCTTTTGCCACTGCTTTTTCCGGGGAGCCATCACATCACCAATGAAGTATTTGCATTTAAAGGATTAATTCCTGCTGTTTGCTTGTGTACTGTTAATCATACCGTTTCCTTCTAAATGATTACAATTGATGAAAACTAAGGCAAGGGATACAATAAACAATGCGCAAATAATCCAGGTACCGAGGGAGCAGGGTACCTGCCAGGTCTTTCCTAGCACAGGTGTTCAGGTGTTTTATTGCCTGCTATGAATAAAGGGCTTTCTCTTCTGCTCAGATTTGGAGATATGTCAAGCTACTGAATTAAGGGAGCTTCACTGGAGGAATTTGCTGTCATTTCAAGTGCCCAGGTTCTTTAAATGTACGTGTATCAAAAGGAGAGTGGCTACTATGGCTCATTGGTTAACACTGTGGTCTGTCTCCTTCCTCATTTTGTTTTATGTGAAAAGCTGGCAATTTTCATATATCTATAAACAGGCATGAGCTGCTGCACAGAAATTGCACTCATTATATTAATAATGATTTACCATGAACGTCCTCCAGGGGCTTGATTTGGTCCACATCAAAGTCCTTGGGATTCTTTCCGCTGATTACAGCAGATCAAGCCCTAAGCAGGTTTTCTTTTTAAAGTCTGCTTTTAATGTCAGCTTGATGTTAGATGAGTCTGCTCTGGAGCTCTGTATCCTGCCCAGGAAAGCAGGGCACCGTAGTGATGCACCGCAGGGCGCTCTGTGTCCTGACGGGGACATTGAGGTGCTGCCCGTAGCCCTGGTGGCTTCCCTGGCAGGACTGCTGGTGGGGCCAGAAGGAGCAACAACTCCAGCCTCTCACACCGACAGTCCTTGGGCCATGCTGCGGTGTCCTCTGTAGCAAGTGGGGAGCAGGAGAGCCCCTGGGCTTGTACATGGCCCATCTGCAGCCGGGCATGGCCACAGGGCTCAGTTTACCAACAGTGGTTGGAGCACAGAGGAGAGACCAATGAGGTCTTGGGTCTGGACCCAGCTATTCAAACTCACTTGGTGGCTAATGTCTCCAGCTCCTACTTGAAAAAAGAGCTTTACCTACTTGCTGGAGGTATGAGGAAAGCTTACTTAAATAGGAGTAAAATGTTTCTTGCAAACAGCCCAATGAGCTTGCAAGACCCTGAAATATCTCAGTGCTTCTGGGCTTAAGTGGCCATGAAGTCAGTGAGAGAAATGCAAATCTGTGGTACTCTGATGAAGTTGCAGAAAATATTTTTCCCTGGGGATAGGGGAGGATGGCAGGACAAACAGAACCTAACATGCATCTGTCTCTGAAAGTCACTTACCTAACCCTGCGTGGCTGACTGTGCATGACTTAGATGTTAAGCACAGAAGCCTCTTGCTAGAAACAAACCTGGGTTTCATATGAAGTATCAACAAAATTATGTGCAGAATTAATTTTCTGTAAGTAAAAATCCATTTTTTCTTTTGAACAGAATTTACATCTCTGCATTTTAAATACATACACACACACATCTCTATATAGTGTTTTTCCTCCTTTTAAAATCCTGAAAATGGTCTAGTCAGTTATTTGAGCAGATTTGGCTAGTGTTTCTCAAAAAATGTTGCTATGGTGCTTAGAGTATTGTTAAATTTTAATTAT